CACACACACACACACACACACACACACACACACACACACACACACATACACATGCGTATATACACATGCATAGCTATATGGAAATATTTATGGTATAAATAATATAACAACATGTTTTTAAATGATACAACATTTTAACCTTAGAAGTACATTGACAGACCTGAGCCCTGTCCTTCACCCTCCTTCAAACCACTCTCTACGGATTTCACAATGTAAGCTGTATGTTAAAGATTTTCAGAACCCAAGGGGACTGGGTACACTTTGGGAGAGTTATCATTCTCTTGTAACCACTAGCCAGGAAATCTGAGGAAATGTGTACATGATATTCTACCATTTATTGAGACCTACTACTTGAAAGCATATAGTTGCAAATATTGGAGGTTTTATTCAGAAGAGGGAGAGATAGAGAGACAGAAAAAGAAAGAGAGACAGAGACAGAGAGACAGAGACAGAGATCTGAATGAGCAACCATTATTCCTAAAGATATGTTTCTGTCCCCATAGTCATGTTCTCAAATATGAACACTCCTTCAGAAGGGCTCACCCTATGACCAATACCTGTTCTGGTCTTCCCCCACTGCCATATAAAGAAAGCAAGGGGATTACAGTATTTCTGTCTTTCTCCTTTACTCCTCCCTCCACTTTTCTCCTTCATCCTCTTCTCTTATTTCCTGGTGTTCTTTTATGTATTACCATAGCATTAGCCACACATTTCATAAGTAATAGGGTCTGTGAGTGTTCCCAGCTGCTACCAAAAGGAAGATAGTCAGAGGAGACTTGGGAGTAGGAGTACCCCCCAAACCACCATTCTTGCTTCCAGTCCCACCTTCACAATCATCATTTGGGGAAGCATCTCCTGTGGAAAAGGGGTCATTCATTCCCACCAACTGCCACACATAGGGCAAGCAAGCCAGCCTAGCAGAAGCAACAGGGCACCAGAGAGAGAGAAAGAGAGAGAGACAAGAGGCAGCATGGGCTAGGCAAGTCAAACCACCATCATCACCACCTTGACCAACATCTCCCCTCAGATCCTGATGGAGACAGCCCAGGACTCTAAACCCAAGAGCCTTGGAAATAGCAGTGCTTCCAGAGATGGCAAAGAAGTAGTCTCTCTGTGTCCCTACACATTCACACAGATTTCTCTCATGCCTGGAAAGCTCTCTTCACTTTCATGTCTTGAAACCAGTGGTGGCATGCTAGCAAATGTTTAAGAACTGGCTCTGGGTGGGGGAGAAGGTGGGGCAGAAGCAGGGAATATAAGCCCAACACCCTTGGAAGTGGAATCTGCATTGATAACCATTTTCTCCATGCTTTCTTAATTCTAAACAATCAACAAAACAATGAATCCAGGCCTGGTTTGTAGTATTCTGACATTTTCATGCTGAAAACGTTGACCATGAGCTCTGCCCAACTGCCTCCAGCGCACCTCTGCTTGGAAACTGTAGCTCCCTTGAAGGCTTGCAGAAATGCCACCTCCCACCTGAAGGGACCTCCTGGGTCTCCATGTTATTCCCTCCCCTACCCCTACCCCCCACACAGCCATTACTTCCTACTTATTTTGTATACATTTTCTCTTATTTTTAATCTCTCTCCTAGTTATTCCCCCTCATTGGAAAGGATGATCCTTGAGGGCAGAGCCTGTTTGGGTTTTTGCCTACATAGCCCCAGCACCTCAAACTTTAGACCTACTATGTGCTAGCATTCAGCACTCGGCAGGGACAGGGACCAGACCTGTGACTTCAGTGGTTCAGGGAAGGCCCTGGTAAGGAAACTCCCTCTACCGATGAAGGTTGGCATCTTGTGAATAACTTAGGGTCTCAGGCAGTTGCCTGGAGCATTAAGAGGTTAAGGGCCTTGCCCAAGGTCACACAGCTAGTACGGGTCAGAGGCAGGAACTGAATCCTTAAACCCAGGACATCCTGGCCAGCCCTCCCTAGTCTATCCTAGAACCTTTATATGGCACATAGTAGGTCTAATAAATGCCTGTTGAGTTGAAAAGAAACCATTTTTAATTGCTTGAAATGGTATTACTTGTTTAACTTTCAAATATTTAGCATCATCAAATGGCAGGCTCTCCTAGGATGCTCACAAATATAGCCTTTTTGGTTCTCTTTTTTAAACTCTCATCGTTTGACTCATGGTGCAGTAGAAGGAACATTGCATTGGAAGACTTTGCTTCTCACACCTTGATTTCCTTATGTGTAAAATCTCCCTTTCATAAGCCTCTTCCCGCTCTATTCCATCTTCCTTCCACACAGAGGTCAAAGTGATCTTCCTAATGCACAGGTCTAGCCCTCCTACTCAATAAACTCCAGCATCCAGATATAAAATCCTTTGATTGGCATTCAAAGCCCTTCATAACCTCCTCTCCCCAACCCTTTCCAGTCTTCTGAAATGCCGTGTACTCTTCGGTACCCTTTGATGCACTGACACTGGTCCCCTGGTGTTACCTGGACAAGATTCTCCACTGCTGACTCTGGAAATTTTCCTCATCTGCCCTCCATGCTTACAATACTCTCCCTTTCCATCTCTGCCTTCTGACTTCAAGTCCCAGCTAAAATCCCATCCTCTACAGGAAGCCTTGCCCAATTCTCCTTAATTTTCAGGCCTTCTTTTTGTTGCTTATTTCCAGCTGATGCTCTCACATTCTCTCTCTCTCATTTGTACAGAAGTATTTGCATTTTATCTTCCCCATTAGATTATATCTTCCTTGAGGGGAGGGACTGTCTTTTGACCTTAGCACAGTGGCAGGCACATGGTAGGCACTTCATAAAAGTTTATTGACTGACAAGGGTACTTTTAAGACCCCTTCCCAGGCTGAGTCTGTGATTACTGAAATACAACTCTGGCTCCAGATGTCTGAGACCAGAAGACCAGAAGTTCATCTTCTGGACACGTACATCCTGGCCCTGTTGATGACTCAACCCTTCCCCAGTCGTGAGTGAAGGTTGTTGTCAAAAGCAATGATCATCTGTCAGACACCACCCAGGGAAATGGCATGGCGTGGGTGAGCAGAGCCACTGGCCCCAAAATGGAAACTCATCATGTTTCATCATGACAAACAGATGAAAATGACAGACCTCTTCCATAAAGTAGTCACTGATAGTCTATTACAGTCTAAAATAGAAACCGTACAGCATCTCGACTGGCCGTAAACACATTTTCAGTAGTCTTGGCAAATTCTATAAATCCATACTGGATTTGGATAGGTGTGAGTGATTGTTATTTGAAATGGATATTTTGGCATTTGGGGGAGTCTAATTCTGTCAACACTTTTAAAACTATTTATTTAAGGAAAACATTTCTTTCTTTTCCAGGTTCCATTTGAAGTGGATTTGTCCACTGTAAAGATGCTGGAGATGCTTTTTGATCCCTCTTCGGGCTATGTCTTAAAGTCAAACACCATTTTCAAGTGGATTACGTCTTTTCTTAAATGAGCACTCTTTATACTGCAACCTTTACAAGGACAGAGGGAATTCAATAGTGTTTTGTTCCAATTTAGCTTGAAATTATGGTTATTATGGTTTTGCTGTAAAATAAAAAACAAAATAAAGAGTGTCTTCCTTCTTACAAAATGTATGGTTTTTCTTCTTTAAAATGCAAAGCAGTGAGTTCTGAAAAGTCATTTCAGAGAACAGATTTTAATTACTTTGTATTTTGTTTTAAATTCCAAAGCTACTTTTAAAACTACCCCTCCCCCCAAAAAGGACTCTTAGGAAAAAGAGTCTTAGAAAAGCTTCACAATGGAACTGTTTCTATCTTATGTATTTATGATGGAGATAAGCTTACATCTACAGCCACACCTACACAAACAAGGTAGACCTAAGATTGGGGTCAGTTCAGTCTGTGGCCAGTTGTCTGTAGAGTTGGAGGAGAGAGGGAGAGATGTCACTGCCATCACATGTGTGTGAGAGGAGTGGAATATTTGGAGATATTTTCTAGGATTTACTTGGTTCTCTTCATAGGCCTCCCAGTGCAGTTTTCCTTCTGACCCCAAGTGAACAACACTCACCTTGATTCTTTATTGTTTTACTTGTGATGCTTGTGATGCCCATATACTAGAATCCCCCCGTGTGAGAGGGCTTCTCACCTGCTTTGACTGGGCAATTGAAGACCTGAGCTTGGCTGTGGCATGCACGTGTTTCCAGCAGAACAACAGATCCTTCTCATGTTATAGTCCTGGGTTCTAACTGTTCATGCTGAGCATGCATTAGGGTAACAGGGGGCCTTGAAGGTGACCTAACTCAACCTCTTCATTTTACAGACTTGAAAACAGAGACCTAGAGGAGAGAAGGGCCTCTTGTGAAGTCACCCATATAGTAAGTCATGCAGCCAAATTTCAAAGCCTGGTCTTCTGACTCCAAATCCAGTGATCTTTCCACAGTGTCCTGTTTCCATGTTGCAGCTGGCACGAAGTAGGATCTGGATGCTTGTCGACAGTGTGGTGGTGAACAAGCTATCTATGCTGCCAGCTAGTTGAAGGTCATATTGAAAATAAATGATTTTAAATTATTTGCATTTCTAAATAAGGAAAATTTAATTAATTATGTGAAAATTAGCCACTGGGGTAGAATATCTCACGGATACAACAGAGATTGTATGTACGGAAATAAAGGTTGGCTAATATTACATGCCAATCATTAGTACCATGTGCTACTTTCCTGGGAAAGTTGAGAAGGAGGATTTTCTGCCTAAATTAGAACCTTTCATTTACAGGCTATATCCAGGGCTTTATAAATGTATTTTAATGTATTTTGGTGGTTTTTTATTGATTTCCTGCCAATGAGGATGCGTATACAGTATTTACGCCAATTTTTTGGAGCAATTCAATGTCTTCAATTAATTGGACATTTTCTGAGTGCAAGGCACTGGGCACTGACCAAGAGGCACCAGAAATCGTTTCATTGGGCTCTATAGGGAAGATGACAAGTAGAATTGGAACAACTTCTTGCCCACATACTCATTGTTCTGGTATGGCAGCATGAGAAGTCTTAAGAATAAGACTAGAGGGCAGAAGACATAGCTAAGACATAATACACTGGAAAGAGTATTGGTTCTTGAATCAGAGGACCTGGGTTCAAATCTAGCCTCTGAGGCTTACCACTATGACCTTGGAGAGTTCTGTATCCTCCCTATGCATCAGTTTCCTCATCAGGTTGGACTAGATGGCCCAAAAGGTGCCTTCAACCTCTAGAATGGTGATCCCAGTGACCACTGATGCTGCCACCTGCGTGTGGCTCAATTACCAACTGACCAGAGGGACACCACATCACAGGTTTATGAGGCCTTGTGAAGGGCACTGGCCAGCTCTCTCTCTGCCTCAAGGTGGCATTCTTTGGAGAAAGCCCCCTTTGCAGCCTTCCCTGATTAAAGCGCCAGAAGTGTCCTCCAGATCCACTCGGAGCACATTGGAGCGTGTCTTCACACTTGCAGTTCTCCTTGTGGGCGCCATTATTCAGGAGTGTTGTTTTGACTGAGAAAACAGGGTCTATAACCTTGGTGCCAGACTCCTGCCTTACAGCTTTCTCTTTTTGAGCTCTCATTCCAGAAATCCCCCATCTCTGCTCGAAGAAGATGCAAACTCACAGCTTGTTAAGTCTGAAACTTCCTGTGGAAGGTGGTGATTGAGGTGTGAGAAAATGATGCGGAACTGGGCTCATGCGCAAAAAAATGAGAACATAGAAGATCCACCCAGAAGAGAAAGGTGTTTATTTCTAAAATTGTTTTTAGATTTTTTTACTTAGCTTGTGTGTATGTGTGTGTGTGTGCTTTAAAGAAAATATCTTTCTATATGGACTGATTTATAACAAGCTTTTTTCATCTGATATATAGTATCTGGCATCTAGGTGGTGCGGTAGATAGAGTGCTGGGCCTGGAGTCAAGAAAATCTGAGTTTAAATCCAGCTACAGACACTTAACTAGCTAGGTGACCCTGGGCAAGTCACTTTACCCTGTTTGCCTCAGTTTCCTCATCTGTAAAATGAGCTGCAGAAAGAAATGGCAAACCACTCCAGTATCTTTGCCAAGAAAACCCCCCAAAAATGGGGTCACAAAGAGTCAGACACAACTGAAATGACTGAACAACAGCACAAACAACATAGCATCTGAGTGTGTTTTACAGGAGATTTTCTACATTTATTTGAATTATAACAGAGGATAATAGGCTGGGCCTGGTGACATATGCCTATGATCCTCACTACTAGGAAAGCTGATGGACAACTTGGGTTCAAGAGTTCATGGGCCATCTAGTCCATCTGAGCCGCAGTGGGGCTAAAGCCCAGCATGTGTCTGCACTAAGTATGGCACCAATAGGTAAGGGCCAGGAGGTGGCTGCCTAAAGGAAGGGACTGACCAGCCAGGTCAGAAATGGAACAGTCCAGAGCTTCTGTGCTGATAGTGGGATCTCACCCATAAGTGGCCCCTGTACTTCCAAGATCACCCAAGTAACAGAACTAGCATTCAAACCCATGTGAAGGGACTCCAAATTCATGATGGTGGTATCATTTAGCTACCACCCAAAACTCATTGCCTGAATGGTGATCACGCATATGGTTCTGTGCCACTCTGCATTTAGCCAGGCTGGTCATCGGAGGCCAGACACAGACTGGTACCAGCTCCATCCTCAAGGCCTTTAATTTGAAGTTTTTCTTCAACAATGCAGAGCATAACTCACTTGTGCCTGCCCATCTGGTGAAATTCTTGCCATGTCCTCTCCAAAGTCTGGTTATCTTAATTTGGGGACATATTAAAAGTCAAAATCATTTAGAAATCCATACTTAGCTATAGAGTGAAAATCAGAATTTGCCAAAAAGATTTTAAGATCACAGATTTCTAATCTTCAAAATTAGGGAATAAAGAAAAGATGGCTTTAGAAATCATCTTTTCTTTATTCCCTCGTTTTGAAGATTAGAAATTGAGGCCTAGAAAGGGGAAATAATTTGGATAGATTTTGGACTTAGAGGAAGACTTGAGTTCTACTAGTTGTGTGACCTTGAGCAAGTTACTTAGTGTCTGTTTGACTCAGTTATGTCAACTGTATAATGGGGATAATAATAATACCAACCTCACAGGGTTGTTGTGAGGACAAAATGAAATAACATCTGTAAAGTACTAACAAAATGTTTTTGGTGGTGATGGTGGTGTTATTATTATTGTTGTCTGCTCAAGGTCACAAAAATCATAAATAATAGACCTCGAATTTAAACCCATTTCATCTGACTCCAAAACCAAGAGCTAATCAACTAAAGCTCAAGTTATTTAAGGCTCATTTATGGTATACTCAGCTGTTGTTCAGTCCTTTTACTTGTGTCTGTTTCTCTATGACCTCATTTCAGGTTTTCTTGGCAAAGATACTGGAGTGGTTTGCTATTTCCTTCTCCAGTTCATTTTACAGATGAGGAAACTGAGGCAAACAAGGTGAAGTGACTTGCCCAGGATCCCACAGCTAATAAGCATCTGAGACTGTATTTGAACACAGGTCTTCCTAACTCCAAGCCTGGCACTCTATCCATTGTGCCACCTAGCTGCCCCTCAGTTGGTCTAAGCCATTCATACTAGAAAACAGCTTTCATTTTGTCCTACCGTCCTCCTTTCTTCTCCCTTTCCCCCTTGCCCCAACTGTCTTCTCCAGGCTGAACATTCCTGGTCTTATCGAAGGGCTTTGTATATCGTTTGATCTCTTCACCGTCCTGGGCCTTAAATCATAAGCTGATGATGCGCAGCAACAGACCTAAGTACTGATTCACACAGCAGATGGCTAAGCTATGAAGGCATAACAAGCAAAGAGCAAACAACCCATAAAGAGTTCTCTGGCATCAGTGATTTTGCCTTCCTTCGCTTCTGCACTTGTGTCCTGTAATCAGATACCCCAGTTTAGATAAATAGGTTGTGATGATTATATTTTAAAAACTGCTATTTACTTCGCAAAAGGATTCCCTGTTGGCTTCCTCTAAATAGCCATTTTCTCAACTGAATTTAAATATCATTCAATTTACAAAAATTAGTTTCATACAGAACCTTTCAGAAGCACATCTATCATGCACAATGAGACACCTGTAAAGACGAGCCACCTTTTATCCATTTTTGACATTTAAAAGAAAATATCAAGGAAGAACTTTCCTTGAACATGACTCAATTCTTGCTTTTGCCTTTCTGAGTTGAAAATTTGACATCAAAATTTCCATAGTAACAGATTCTGGCAGGGAGGGAGTGTGTATGTCACAGATGCAGGAATATTTCAAATTCTTGGTGAGATTAAGAAGAAAGCTCCAGTGACAGCAGTTTTCTTCATAATTGAATTCATTAGTTAAAAAGTTGGGTTAAGAGGGATCAAAATGTTACTATGATTGGCTGGTCTCTTCTATACCAGACAGACAACATAAATTTCACAGCAAATAAATTGCTTCTCACGCTACCCCTCATTTCAGGAAGATTTAAAACTAGTTGTATTTAGTAGCTTTAGCATGAAATGCACTCAGTTAAGAACCAAT